ATAATAGGTTAAAAGGAGACTCAGGGACATAAAGAACATTATCAATGGTTAAAGAAGGGAAACGTTTAACAGTTCCAACACCATGAGATGATACTCTAGAGCCATCAACTAGTGTAACAGAAGATAAATGATTAGAAAAGGATAAAGAGAAGAACAAAGATTTGTTACTAGTAATATGATCAGTGGCTCTTGAATCAAAAACCCAAGGACCAAGAGAAGAGGATTGGGTCAGACCAGCAAAATATGTATCTGTGTGTGCGAAAAACGTAGTGGAACTAGAAGATTGTTGATCCTTATACCATTTGAGAAATTTGTTGAACATAGCAGGTGTGTTGGATGCAACAGAAGAAGGAGGATCCCCAGCAGACAAAGGTGGGAAAAGATTGGTCTGAACAACTGCAACAGATCGAGGAGGATCACCATGTAATGCATAACACTTGTTAATCTTGTGACCTAGTTTGCCACAATGTTCACACTTAGGACGCGTTTTTCCCTGTTTGTGAGAGCGAGTTCGGTCATCACAGTGAGATGCCAACACAGAAGAATCATTAACAGAATTGGAAGTAGTAGAAGGAGTGGAAGAAGTCTTGAAGGGCAAGAGAACAAACCCTAAAAATATCCAAAGTAATTCAATCAACCCACGAAGCATAGATCCAAAACGAGAAGACCAAAACAAGTCTGTCGAGACTAAACGACGTAGGAGACAATAGACGACCAACTCTGATAGTGGTGATCTCAACGGGCACGGTGATCACCTTATCGAAACGAACAAAATCGTATATCACCGGTCAAAAATGAAACTCTGACGACGGCTCCGGCGGCGGCGGTGACAATAGCGTGAACCAGTACACCAGGTAAGTTCCCAGGAAAGAGAGGTAGATCACTAATGGACACACTTAAATACCAAGTCTTTCCTTGTTAAAACCTTCCTAGACATGCACTTCCACACTACCAAATAATATCCAGTAAGAAAGATAACTCTTTTCTGATGTGGAAGATTAGTTTAACCGGCAGCAGCGGCGATGGCGACTTCAGCAATGGATAATGGCGAAAAAATTTCAAAATAACCTTAAGCTCTAGATATCATGTTGAATATAGAGGAAATATGGTTTGAGATAATCTCCCCTTGTGTATAAACCATACATAGGGTAATTTATTTATAATAGAGAGAGATACAACTAAAAGAGTAATTGAAAGTAAACAAAATAAACAGAAGATATTGTTTGATATTGTGGTTAACAATATCTAACAATATCTTAACAATATCTAAACAATATCTAACAGATAAGAATAACAACATTAAGAACATATATTAATATCTCAAAATATCACCAAGATATAAAAGAGTTCAAAGAAAGTGCACCTAATCTTAAGATAATGAAGTTAGCCACTCATGATGGCCATTACAATGATCCAAATGAAGAAGAATTGGAGAAGAATTGAAGATTGGACGAAAACTGGAGCAGCTGTCGCGCCTCTCTTCTTGAAACCTAAAATTATTTCTCAAAATGCATCTTATCTTGTTATAGAAAAATTTGCTTGAGCGGTTGAATTCCTGAGAGCTTTAACAAAAAATGATGATTTTCACTCAAGCGAGAAATGTTTGCTTGAGCGGTTGAATTCCTGAGAGCTTTAACGTATTTTCGTTCAAGCGAGCATCCATCTCGCTTGGGCGTCAAGCTGAAAATCTTCTTCCTTCTTTCAATTTATCTTCAATTATCTTGAGAATTATGATCCTTGCTCTTGTACCAAGGTATTCTGCAAATTCATCCTACATTGGGAGAAAAATATATTGGAATCAACATAATTTAAGTGGTTAAATAACAATTAAAAGTATAATAACATCAACTTTTACAACTTAACAACTCCTCTAACCTAGAATCTTGCTTGTCCTCAAACAAAGTACTAATTCCTCCAAAACAAAAATTCATTACATATTATCACTTTCTCTTCTAAAACACTTAACACAAAAATAACTTTTCTTCAAGATATGATGTTCACAACTTTAAGTGAAAATAGGATAGATTGTGTATTATAGTTAAAGAAACTAACAGGGGATAATTAGTCATCAACTATCCTTAAAGAAGCATCATCTCTCAAGTAAAATGATATATAATCATCTCTAACTCTCACGGGTAACTGTTTTTATCATTCAATCACTTCATTTAGATAATCCACTATTGATAATCATCTTCAAGCAATCAACATTTGTTAAGCAAGACTTAAATCAAAAAGGTCTTTTGAGGCTTGTAATGAGGTTGGGCTATCAAGGAATTCATTGGTTTTTCTATGATATACAAAAGTATTTGAGAAATTGAAATTATATGAATGATTCTTGTTTAACATTTCTTCAAGTGAGGTCTCAACTTCATGCTTTTGTTCAAATATAATGATAGTGAGCTAACAATCTAAATCTCACAAGTTATCATTCACACCAATTTAAATTTCTTTTTTCTTTCCTCATTTTGCATTTATCATTTCAGCTCAACCACAATATTTATGCTTTTCTTTCCCTTTTTCTCTACTCAACCTTCTCTTTTTTTTTAAAGAATAACAATAACATTCATAATTATTTCATATCTCAAATATAAGAAGGTGGATAAACATTGTTTAGGTTCAGGGATTCTGTTTCAAGAAACAACCTTGTTTTTTGCTCAAAAGGGTTCAAAATAATTTCTTCTAATCAATGCAGGGTTGACTATTTGACTCTAGGTTATTTCTACTTTCACCAAACAAAATTTACCTTTATCATTTTCAAGTTTCGCTAATATGCAATCACATCAAAGAATCAATCAACAACAATTATCATCATAAAGTGTTGACACTCAATTTAATTATTTTTGGGTATACTACTCTCTTGGGTTTCAGCTAGCTTCTCCAATTCAGTTAATTCCTAATTCTCTTCATCAATTTCATTTTCACTATCATACTCATTATCCTAAAATCACTTGTTATTGGAAATAATCAAAATGATTTTTAGGTCTAGATTTGAATTAGACAATAAGCAATAATTTCATATATGGCTCTAAAACAAAATATGTGGGACAACAAATGAATTTAATAACATCAAATTAAAAACATTAAAAACAAATTAAGTTTCCTCCCTCACTCATCTTCACTTGACATTTCCTCCTCATCTTGTGTCTCAGCCTCTCCCGGAAAAGTTGGACTGTCCCTAGGCCATTGGAGTAAGGATTCAAAGTTTTGTGGAGAAGTCCACAGTGTACCTGGAGCAATCTGCAAAAAAAAGTCTATGAAAATCTGCATTAAAAGCTAAACCAAATATTGTTCAAACAAACCCGATTCAAAAATTTCCATAATTCATAATTAACTAACAATGCACCAAAAACTTAAAATGTGAGAAAGAACAAAAAAAACTAAAAACACTAGGTTGCCTCCCAGGAGCGCTTGTTTTATGTCTTTAGCTCGATGTCTGTCTACTTTATGGCTCATGCAGGTGAGTGATCAAGGTGAGTCTTTCAACTTCACCTCCCAGATAAGCTTTGATTATTTGCCCATTAATTATCCATGTTCTTCCTGTTGTTGGATCTTCCAATTCCATAGCACCGTAAGGCTTACCACTTCTTATCAAGAATGACCTTGACTATTTGGACTTTAATTTCCCAGTGAAAATCCTTAACCTTGAGTTGCACAGTAACACAGACTGGCCTGGATGAAAATCTCATTTTAAAATTTTCTTATCATGATATGTCTTGACTTTCTCCTTATATAACTTGGAGTATTCATATGCATTGAGTCTCATCTCTTCTAACTCATGCATCTGGGTTCTTCTTTTCTCTGTTAAAGTTGTAGGGTCGAAATTGAGGAATTTTAAAGCTCAATAAGCTTTGTGCTCCATTTCCACTGGGAGATGACATGACTTGTCATAAACAAGTTGAAAGGGAGAAAGCCAAGTGTGAGATTTGTATACATTTCTATAATCCCAAAGCACATCATCCAGCTTCATCGACCAATCTTTCCTTGAGGACGAAACAGTTTTCTCTAAGATTCTTTTGATTTCTCTATTTTGACACTTTTGCTTGTCCATTCGTTTGTGGATGATAAGGTGATACAACCTTATACCTAATCTCATAATAACCTTATGACAAGTATGACATGTGATTAGTTTCACCATATTCGCTGAGGATGTCAAATGTTATTATAGGAAATTACAATAATAAATGGGTTCAAATAGGTTGGTTTGTAACGACAGAGCTTCTTTGGAGGTGAGGAGCCAAACCCCTCCTACCCTTCAAATTTTGTGTACTTTACAATTTTGGTCTCTTATTTAATTTGTTTCTTATAAATATTAAATCCAATCATTAAATACATTGAATATGTAAGTATTTTATATTTTCTCACATTTGTATATTTATTTATTATTTATTTATGTTATTGACCACCTAAAATCATTTATCAAGATTCATCAATATCGATTTAGACAATTATTACTTTGGAATCTATCGGACAAGCTATATTGAATATTGAAGAAAAACAAGAAAAATGTATATATGACTAATACTTCAATTAATAAAAAAAGAAGAATATAGATAATAAAAAATGTCTCTAAATAAAATAATATATAGAAAATAAAATAATTTTATTTATAGATTTCTTATAAAGATATTTTAAGTAATAAATAATAAATATATTTATTTTCATATTATTTAAATTATTTAAATTTTTAAAATTCTCTAAATGATACTGAGTAATTGGATATCTTTAATTTGGATGATATTATTATATTAATATACACTTAAAAAATTAAATAAATAAAAAACTCAGTCAATTTCATATCATTAAAGCGAAAATCGGTGTTATCACGATACAATATTGTTTGTTGATTATTTCACCACTTAATCAAGACTATTCTTAACCATATGATCAAAATCATTGATATCCAAAATGCATATTAAATCATATCTCTAGCAAGCATAACATATCAATGGAACTTGTTTACATGGGATTTGTTGTTTGTTATGCACTTCCAATTTGAAAAGACTTGCATGGCTTTCGAATTGGACCAAGACAATGTGAAAGGGCGTTCCTTTGCGTTGTAGCAATCCAAATGGATAGGGCTGGCCCTCTTCTTTGGGGCACATCCTTGCCATCACGATGTAGGTCCCCCACAGAAGTTTCATAAAATATTTTAGCATTATTTATTTTTTAATATTTTTGCTTTTAAATAATCTTTTATTATTATTTTATAAGCTACATAATGCTGTTTTTTTTTAGTTTTTCTTTTTATACTGATTTGATAATTGAAGTTATTCATTAGCCTTCGTTGATGAGAAAAGTTCAACAAGATTGATAATTTTAATATGGTTACACATTAATCGATTTTTTTAGTTTTTAAGTTTTGTTTTTATCTTGTTCTGATTTATAAGATTCCACACGTGATTTTGGTTTTGAAGTAAATCACTCAAAAATATATCATTGTTTAAATTTTGAAAAAACAATTTTCATTCTTCAAAATATTGTTGATTGCTGTTTATTTACTAAAACAATTTAGTAAGATGAGGATATTGTAATTTAATTTAATATAATTAATATGAATTTTCATAAGAAATAAAATTAACGAGATATTATTTTTGTTATAATTTTCATAAGAAAATAAAAGGTTTTTAGTAACAGAACCAATCCCATATATAAATTTTAATTTCAAACTTAGTTCGTTTTTTTTTATTTAATTATATATTATTTTATTATTTTAAAACTACATATTTATAAATTTTTATACAAAATTGAATGTTATATATTTCATAAATAAAGAGATCCTTTAATTAATAAGTAATGAGTCAATTATTTATATAAAATAAAATTACACTATTTATAATTTAAAATTATAAATTTATATTTTTATATAGTATTTACTATTATTTAATATATAACTTGCACTCATACTTAATTTTCAACAGTTAATTCTTTTAGGAATTAGTGATTATACATGGTCATTTAAGTTTCTGGAGCTAAATTTTAGCACCAGTATTCATCTTAATTAGGTATGTTATTAAATTTTGTACCACTACTCCTTCTCTTTCTCTCTTCAACAAAAGGAAATGGGTGATGGAAGAATTAAATTGATAATTGCACGCATTGGTCATTCATACTATAGCTACTTCTCTGTTGCTAACGTATGAGAGCAAATATTTTGAGTAATTTTAAGCGGTTAACATTTTTCTTAGGCTTAAATTCTGCATGTTAAGAAATTGTTATAACAGGAATTTTGTTGTTGTAATAATAGATACTTAATTATAGACTGATTTATTATTGATAATTATTGATTATTTTTTTTATTTTTAATTAATTGTAGCGGTAAATTAGATAAAATATTTTATTGACATAAATTTTTTATATCAATATATTCATCGATATATACATAAAAATTATAAAGAAAATTTTGTTTAATAACTGTTAATAATAAGTATAAAAATTTCATCCTATTATTAAGATCATGAAAAAGTGATAAACTTTCTTACTTGAATGTAAGTTTCTAATTTACACAAATTAACAAATTTTAAGAGGATTGATGACACAAATGTTTTGAACTCTTAGAAAATGATATTACCTTTCCAAATGTTTATGTATAGTTACCAAATCGTCAATAAATTAGGGGCTTCTAAAAGAATTGATGGTGTCTATGAACATTTTGTTCAATAATGATCCCATTTTTATTACTCATTTTTGGATGGAGTTATGTAAGTTTAGTGACATTAAACTTCGCTTCACATCTGCTTATTATCCACGGGGAGAGAAATAAATTGAGGTGGTAAATCACATTTTACAATGATATGTGTGGGCATTTGTGCATCGCCAATCTTTTAAGATAGAGAAAATTTATTCATTGGGCTATGTGACATTGTATTTCAACTTACCAAGATGTGTATGAGAAGTTACCTCCTTTGTTACCACATTATATAGTTTAATGTAGTAATCTTAAAGTTATGGAACGTAAATAAGTGATGGCACAAACATCTTAAACAGACTGAAACAAATTTTCTTAAGGCCTATCCAACTACGAAGGATTGCTTTGATATTCATTGAATCCTCTCTCTAAGCTAGGTGACCAAGTCTTGATGAGCTTAAGGCCGTGTAAGCAAACTGCTATTGTAAGGAGACAATCAAAAAAATTATCTAAACATTTTTTAAGTTTTCTTATTATCAAGCAATCCATTAGAGAGAATAAAGAGTCAGCATTATCCTTTTTTGTTGCAGATTAATCTAAAATTCTACTAGTGACTATTGTCATCTATGGTAAAAGATTATCCTCCTCATTTATAGAGATTCACCTTGAAAATCATTTAATCAACAACTTATCAATTTGCCTAAATTACATTTTTGGACAAGGTGATTCTCCATGGACATGAGAATATTATGGATTAAGAGGAAGAAGATAATTCAAAACATGTTGTGAAGAATTGGATCCAATCGTTGAATTGAAAAACTAGGATCATTATGTGGGAAAAAAAAAACAACACAAGTGGATGCAAAATTAGGTGGATACTAATATTAAACGTAAAATAAAATTAAAAAAAAAACTAAATTCTATTTGATATTACATATCTATTATTAGATATTACCAGACATTATCTCCTATCATTTTATTGTATTTTCATAAATAGTTATACTTCTAAAAACTATATATTATTTTCTTTTAATTAAAAATTGGTGAATGAACTTAAATCATCTTCTCTATATGATATTTCTCTCTACTTCTATCTAATATTCATTTCCTAAATCTAACGGAGGTAATTATTATATTGTTTTAATCGGTTAACTTCATTAGAAATATTATTAACGCTTTACCCAAATATCTAAGGCTTGTAATGTTAGTGAAGCCGTTGAGACAATGTGACAAACAGCACATGTGCGTTGTTAAAACAGGAGAAGTACCGAGCTTTGACAAACCAAACCTCACTATCAAATTAGTTAAAGAAGGAAAAGGAGAACCATAAACATTATGAACCCAACTTATCGTTTACTAAGCAAAACTGACCCAATGGTATGCTTAAGATCAATGCATTTTCCATGTTATTTTTGTTTTGATATTTTATCATTTTATTACAAATTTGTTGGTTGATGGAAAAAATTAAACAGATTAGTGGGGAGAGGTCAACAAGGGATGCGTGAATACGGTGGATCTTTGATATTTTGTCCATCCAATTACAAATTATGTATACACTTTTTTGTAATAAAAATTTGAAAATATGAAATAAGATAATTATTGTGATAAAAAAATTATTTTAATGAAAATTGAAGTTTTATCTTGTAATCAAAGCAGTAGTTTGTCGGCAAAAGAAATAATGACAGTAGTTTGCTCAAATTTAAGACCGAATATTTGGGCCGTTTGACATGACTGTATATCCAGTCATTCACTTTTACAAAATTTTCATTTTATTATACAAATAATTGTGATAATAAAATTTAATTAACAGTTAAGATCCAATGTCACTGTAGGCTTAAAGCTTATATATGCCTTTTTTTAAGCCCATTTTTTAATATAAGAAGAAAATTATCCGAGTAACATGTTCCATTTATTTATTTAAATAATATATTTTACTATTCAACTGATTTCTTAATATTATTTATTTTTTAATATTTTTTAATTAATCGGTTATGTTAAACGATTTCTCAATTGGAACTTTTTGAAATAAAAAAAATTGTCTTTTTAATTTTCAGTTTTATTTTAACATTGCTTTTATTTTGATTTTAATAATTAGTTTAAAATTATAACTTAAAAATGAGACTTTAACTATTTTGAAAATTCAATATTGTTTTTTTTTAAATTGAGGATGTTTTTATAAAATTAAAATAGACAATTATCTAGAATTGTAATAACAAAATTATATTATTTTTTTACTTGATAAAAAACCTATTTAAATAAACGGATAAGAATTTTAAATAAAGATAACTAATTTTGAATTTATAATATAACCAAGGTGAAATTAATATAAGCTGCCATAAAAAAATAATATAATAATTCTTAATGACTTTCTTTTTTCAAAAGAACTTCTAATAAATTTAAATTATATATGTATAAAATTTGAAACAGATGGTTATCGTTATTTAATTGTACATTATTTTTATAGTTTAGGTTTACAAACAGATTAGTTAATTAACCTAAATGTATGTTTTCTTTATTAGAAAAAAATCTTAGATTAAAATAAAATTGATTTTAGAGTGGATAAGTATATGACAAATAATATTAGTAAGTAGACGTATTACGTTAAATAGAATTTGTGTAGTATAAAAGGTACAGTTTATGGAGGATGATTTGAACTTTTCATTTGATAAGGATAACTATTTTATGAATTATCTAAATTATTATATATTGAATATCGAGTTTATTATGTTTATCTTAATTTTTATAAAGATATTTTGCATGATTATTTACGCATCTTATAATTTTTTAGATTAAGAAATATTTGAGGTTCATTAGATTCTGACTAATAGTTTTAAATGCGTAGTTATCAAATAATTTTGTATATACTTTAAATATGTATTTCAAAATAAATAAAATGACTTTTTATTTATATATTTACCTTATGTTTACAAGTATGTCAAAATTAATGGTTTCTTTTATATATCTTAGAATTCTTTTTGTTAAATTTGTTAAGAACCTACTAATCAAGCTTATTTCATACATCCGATTTGGCCAAAAGTGGTTATGGGGTACATAAGACTTCCAAATGTTTATTTAAACATGGTGGCATCTCCTCGCTCATCTTTTGATAATCCTGTTCATGGAATAAAAGAATTTTCTATGGAGTTGTTGCTTCTCATGCCAAATCTTTCAAGGACTTCTCGAATATATCTTCTTTGATAGATAAATATTCTAGCTTCACTTTGTATAACTTTAATTCCCATAAAATATTTCATCCCTACCAAGTCAAACATATTTAATTTTCTCATCATTGAATTTTTGAATTTATCACAAATACTCTTATTGCCTCCACTGAAGATGGGATCATCTACATACAAATATTTTATTGCCTCCAATGAAGATGAGATCATCTATATAAAGACTAATAATAAGTGTGTGACCTCCTTCTTTCTTGGTAATAATGTGTGCTCACTTAAACATTTTTCAAACCCTTAACAAGTATAATATTCTTTTATCTTGTTGTACCAAGCACTTGGTGTTTGTTTAAGGTCATACAATACCTTTTTCAATATGTAAACCTTGTCTTCTTTTCCCTTTTGATGAACCTTTCTGACTGTTTAATGAAAACTTATTCTTTAAATTCTCCATGAAGGAATGCACTCTTTACATCAAGTTAAAATATTTCTCATTCATGTATGCTTCTATGTGCTTCTTCGAAGAGAAATGGATCATTTTTGCGTTCATTCATCAACATCATGGGATTTTCTTCTTCTGCAGCTAAATCAGCCTATGTTACATAGTCTGTCATCCATCTTGATGCTCTTCTAGCTCTTGTGGCCCTCTCTTGAACTAGACTTTCTTGATCAGTGTTGTTTTCCTCACTTGTGGGTGATCTGATTCCACTTCACTTGAGTTGTTGTCATCTTCATTTTCTTCTTACTCAACTTCTTCTTTTTAAGATTGTCTTTTTCATCTTCACATACTAACACATCAGCTTTCCTTTCTTCATCGGTTCTACCCCAATCCCAACCTCTCTTTTCTTCAAACACCATATCTCTGCTTACAATGATTTTATTGGAAACAAGATCAAATAATTTGTAAGCCTTTGATTCATCGTTAATTCCTAAGAAAACACACATCTTACTCTTATCTTCAAGGTTGGTTCTTCTTTTACCTAGTATATGAACATGAGCCACACACCCGAAGACTCGAAAATGTGCCAGCGTAAGCTTCACAATGCTCCATGCTTCTTTGGGAGTTATACTTTCTATTGCTGAAGTTGGACTTCGATTTTGTACATGCACACACCATTTCACACCTTCTGGTTAAAATACCTTCGGAACTTGTCTTTTGTTCAATACAACCCTCACACCATTCATGATCGTGCTATTTTTTTTCGCAGTGACTTCGTTTTCTTGAGGCATACAAGTCACTGTTAATTGTCTTCTAATGCCTTAACTTTTTTAGAATTCTTCAAACCCATGTGAGGTGAGTTCACCACCTCTATCCGTTCTCAAGCTAGCAATGTGTCCACCAACTTCTTTTTCAACACTAATTTTATAGTTCTTGAAGTTTTGGAATGTTTTAGATTTATTATGTAAGAAATAAACCTAAGCTTTAGGTGAGAAGACATCTATAAAGCTTAAGACATACTATTGTTACTATTTGAGGAAGGTTTGAGAGGATCGCATATGTCCGCATACACGAGTTGTAGATTCTTTGAGGCTCTCCACATGCTTTTTTTTTGGATTGATCTTCTGTATTGTTTTCCAGTCAAGCAAGTGATGCAAGTATTATTTGGGAACTATAGATTTTGTAAGCCTTTTACTAAGTGTTTTTTTGAAAGTGTGATGAGCCCCTTGTGATTAAGAAATACTTGTGATGAGTCCTTTGCTGTCTCTAACTCCGTTTGTAGTCACATGGTTTCCTTGGTGTTGTAGTGGCTAATACATAAAACATTCCATTGTCATTCATATTAGTTTGTATGATTAAACCCATCCTAGAGTGAAATACTTTACATGTTCCATTCTGAATCAAATTGTCAATCATTTTTCTTGAAATTGTCCTAAGCTAAGCAAATTATTTTAAGCGAGGAACAAAGTAAACATCTGAAATTACTTGAGAAACACAATTAACTTGCATTCTTACACTTCCTTTTGCTACCACATCCATGGTCATGTCATTCCCTAATTTCACAATTTGGCAAAGACCTTCTTCTAAATTCTAAAATCAACCTTTATTACTTGTCATGTGGTTGCTACATCCGGAATCCAAAAACTAGACCCCCTTTTGCTCGATTTGGTGCAAATCCATGTGTGGCATAAACAAGAGTTCCTATTCTTTTTCCATCTCTGCATAGTTTGCCTTTTTCTCCCATTTTGGATACTAATATTGAAAATGTCCAAGCTTATGACACTTAAAGCATTCAATAAGTGTTTTGTCTAGGGATCACCTGCCATGTCCTCTTCCTCTACCACCTCTATAGAAGGCTTTTCCTCCTCTTCTTTTTCCAAAACTATCATCATGAGCAACTTTAAACACCTATTCCTCCCCTTGATGTTACTGCATCCTTTGTTCATGAACAAGAAGACTTTCATGGAGTTCATCAAGGGTTAAGACGTTTAAATCATTTGAATCCTCTATAGAACATACAACATAATTAAATTTAGAATTCAATGATCTAAGTATCTTGCTGACCACCATACTTTACTCCATGTTTTCACCATTTGACTTCATCTTGTTCACCACGCTGAGGGTTCTTCCCAGAAAGGTATCAACCTTCTCTCCTTCTTTCATAGCAAGTAGCTCAAACTCTCTTCTTAGAGCTTTAAGTTGTGTCCTCTTTATATTTGTCGAACCTTGGTACTTCTGCTACATTGACACCCAGATTGCCTTAGAAGTCCCTTTGTCAAGAATTGCCTCCAGAATTTCTCTATCAATATCTTGGAATAAGAAATCCTTAACCTTCAAATCCTTGAGCTTGGCTTCCTTCCCGCTTTTGCTTTATGTGTCACTCGTTGGTGCAGTTCAACTATTAGCAACAGTATCCCTTTGTCTACAAGACTCCACAACTCTTTATTTCTCATAAAGCTTTTCATCATCATTGACCAATGATCATAATGACCATCAAATTTTGTTATATCTGGTTGCACAAACTTTTCTAACATTTTTGTTTGTAAACTCACACACATTCACTCATAACATGCCCCTTGTGGAGCTTTGATACCAATTGTTGAGACTTATAATATGATAAGACGTAGACTAGAGAGGAAATGAGTTGTATCT